GGGCAGCAACAGTCTCAGGCTGGTGACACTGGTATGTGTAGAATTTGGTTATAATATTAAATTGGGACTCGAAGAAGAAGCCAACAATGAATTGGGCAAATATTTTGCTCCAAATATTTATAAACTTCTCTTTATTCTCTCAGGTGCTACACCTACGCGCCAGCCTGAGTCTTATTGGCGATCCCGTGCGGAGGCAGCTGCAAGCATACCCCACCCTATGTACGCCTCTAATGCAGGTAAATCGTCTACAGAGTTTATTTCATATTTGCATTTTACACCTGATGTTTAATGCCTCAAATTTTCCACGGATGATGCCTGACAAATTTCAGTTGTTGTTTTTTCTTCTTTAGGCGCCACACGTATGCGGCAGTCCCTGTCGTATTGGCGATCACTTGCGAACGCCGCTGCGAAAATGCTCAACCCTGTGAACGCTTCTAGTTCAGGTAAATCATTTAAGCTCAAGTTCCTACATTCATGTCAAACCACAACCCATCAATTCTTTTATTTCTTGATCTGTTGAACACTCTAGTGAAACCAATTCTCCTTTATTGTAGTGAATTTTTAGGACCAACGGTTCAGTCACCAGATCTCATTCTCAACGGAGTTACTGAATGTCCCAATGAAAACTTAAGAACTTTGCGCCAAAAAGCAGTTACTCAAGCAACTGGATATGATTTGGAAACGGTCAGACCTTTTAAGCTAGTATCCACTAGCTTTCGTCAGTGACTGAGAGACCAGAGGGGAAATGCAGGTTTATAAGCACAACCTATTGATTGATATGCAAATAAAGTGAAGACAATTTTTTGGAAGTTGAGAAAGGAACAAAAGTCAGACAAGTCAAGACAAGATAATGCAAATTAGTCAGAAAGCTCCTGTTACAGAACAGGAGCTTAAGTGTTGTCTGTCCTCGGGGCTGGGAGTGCCAAATCCCAAGTGCCGGAAAGATCGACCCGTAGCCCCCCTTCCCTGTTGAGGGTGGGGTGTACATTCTTTCATATATTGCCTCTTTAACACCCCGTTCCACCAGCGTGTTTCGCGGTCTAAGATATCCGTGGGCGCGAGTTTGAAAGAGTGACCCTGGTTGTGTTGTAGGTGGTGGAAAATAGCTGAGGGCTGAGGAGTAGCCGTTGGCACTAGGTCGGCAATGTTCTTTGTATCTTACTTTGAGCGGTCGACTTGTCTCTCCGATGTAGGTGTTGTTACAGTTGGGCTCCTCACATTTGAGTCTGTAAATAACATTCGCCTTGGTACCTTTGTGAGGTCGGTCCTTAGGGTGTACCAGTCTTTGTCTGAGGGTTGAGTGAGGTTTGAAGTTAGTGGCTATGTTGAAGTTTTGGAAGATCCGTCGGAGTTTCTCAGATACTCCTTGGACATACGGAATAGTGATGTTGACCTAGTTTTTGTTGGTCAATGATTTGCACTTCTGGGTTTTCTTAGACTGATCCGAAGTCTTGAGTGCTTCGTTGAAAGTCCAATTTTGGTAGCCACATTTAGCCAGGGCACCTCGGAGGTGTCTATGTTCGTCCTTTTTGGCTTGGTCTGAAGTGATAATGTTGTCTGCACGATGGAAGAGAGTTTTGATCACTGCTAGTTTGTGTTCCAAAGGGTGGTGGGAATCAACGGCCAGGTACTGATCTGTGTGGGTTGGTTTCCTGTACACTTCGAAACGAAGGTTACCATCTTCCTCTACGATAGTTTTGGTGTCTAGGAAAGGTAGAATGTTGTCATGACTTGGCTCCTGTGTGAACTTGATGTTGTCATCTATCTGGTTGATGTGGTCAAAGAAATCAGCAGCTACCCTCTTTTTCAATCTGCACCAAGTGTCATCTACATATCGAAACCAGTTGGCCGGGGGAGTGTCATTGAAAGTGCCGAGGGCTTTGTTTTCAAACTTTTCCATGTACAGGTTTACAACGATTGGTGAAACTGGTGATCCCATAGCACAGCCGTGCATTTGTTGGCAGAACTGTCCTTTGTAGGTAAAGTATGTGCATCCTAAGCAGAGTTCTAGTAGCTCACAAACTTGGTCAACGGTTCTATCTGCAAGTGTATCATCGGCTTCCCAGGCTTCCCTGACTACTGACACTGCTTCCTTAGGTGTTATGGGGGTGAAAAGTGAGCATACGAAGTGATGGTTTCACTTTGTCTTCATTTTATTTGCATATCAATCAATAGGTTGTGCTTATAAACCTGCATTTCCCCTCTGGTCTCTCAGTCACTGACGAAAGCTAGTGGATACTATCTGAAACGTCTGACGTTTTCAAAATCATATCCAGTTGCTTGAGTAACTGCTCTTTGGCGCATCGTATTACATGGATGTCTAACCTTCATCGACGTAAGAACATTGGTATCCAATTCTATATTTCGGATATTGGACGGAGATGTAAATAACAGCAAGGCTCGCCGTGTAGGGAAACAATCCGACTCATCTATGTCATCATTTAACCACCCTATTCTTATCCGACTTAGTAACTACAATGACAAGTTAGATATTATATACCATTCCAAAACACTAACTAACCAAAACATAACAGTAGTCCAGCCTACTATTTCTTACGAGATTTTCGACTTAGAATATGTTCTCCGAAACTTCTGTAAGATACTTCTCCACGTCCCTAAAAGTTCAGTTAACGCTGCTGTAAGGGGCGAATTAGACGTGTTCCCACTGTACATAGATACCCAGACGCAACTGATCATGGTGTTGAAGATGAGTATCATTTTCTGATGACATGCCCCGCATGCAACGAAGAGAGACGCAAATTAATGCAGATAATCTAATGTAAAGACTGCTAAAACATTACCCAACGTTCTAGAGAGACGTCCCATGTACTTATGCCATGCCCAGACACATTTTCTGTATATATAGGCCAATACATTTATAATGCCATGCATAAAAGAAATCTTACAATAGCTGTATAAGTAGAGTCATTGAATACTTTATCAACTACATGTATATTAGTATAGTGTAGCGTATTGTAGCATCTATATGTAGAATTGTAACATTCCTGGCAAGTAATTTAGTCTACACTCAGTTTAGTAGTCAAGGAACATGTTTTGTATAGGTACAACTGCTCTTTGTACCCTTCATAAGTATAGTTTAGCGTAATGTAGAACGTACATGTAGAGTTAAAATACTTCCTAGCCAGTAGTTCTTTATAACACTCTGTCAGACACAGTAACCGTTGACCATATATGTAGCATTATAATAGACTCATACCAACTAGCAACTTTATTATTTGCCATACATTGTACCCGTGACAATCGTTGTGCAATAAACTTTGACTTGACTTTATAGTCCCTATCTTGATCGTTTTGTATGTTAAAGACCCAATATTTTTCCACAAATGACCATTAATAATACTTCTTCCAGCCAGTCCAGACGACCCACCCACGGACCAACCCCAGACAGATAACCAGGCACGTGCGGACGACGATGAAAACTCACCCGACGTCACGTACGCCAACATACCAGGTAAACGTTTTAAGTTCCTCTCTTTTCTTACACGCATCCTTTTTTTCATTGCTTCGTGATTGTAACCTCACTAAAGCTGAGTGTTTCTTTTAAGTAGTTACCGTGATTAACATGTGATGCATTTCACGTACTTGTGTAGGTTTTTGTACGTTGAGAAGAATCTAAAAAAGGTTTGTTAAGATATTTTCACAGTAATGTACTAAAAACTTTTTTTTCTTCCAGACGACTCACCTATGGACCAACCCCAGACTGATAACCAGGCACGTGCGAACGGCGATAAAAACACAGCCGAGGCCACGCACGCCAACATACCAGGTAAAACGTTTTAAGTTTGTCTCTTTTCTTGTATTCTGTTTTAATCCATTTGTGATTATAACCTCATTAAAGATGAGGATTTCTGTAGATAGTTACCGTGATTGGTCTGTGGTACTTTTTGCGTACACATGTAGGTTTTTGTTGAGAAGGTTATAGAATAGTTTGTCACAATACCTCCACAGTTTCGTAATGTACCAGAAGCATTATTTGTAAGCAAGAATGAAACCACTGTAAATATGCAGGTCCAATGAACTATTTCTTTAGATTCTAATGCTGATGTTACATTTCCAAACCGGGCCCGGCCGAAGTAGTTACCGTGATTGGTCTGTGATACTATTGCGTATACGTACTTGGGTAGGTTTTTGTTGAGAACTTCAGAAAATAGTTTGTCAAGAGTACTCCACAGTTTCGTAATGTCATCATCATCATCGTCCGGCTGCGGAGCAGTCGACCACAAGTCTTCCCCACGACCGTCGATCCGCCGCCAGGTTGGCAATGTCCTCTGGCCGCAGGTTACCCTCGGCGTCCCCCAACAGATTCCGGATATAGCCCAGGTAGTCGAGTCGCTGGCGCCCTGGGCGCCTTTTGCCGTGCGTCGGTACATACAGGGCATATGTCCGGCATGGTTCCCCTACAGGCATTCTAAGTGCATGTCCCAGGAATCGAAGTTGACGCTGCCTTACCATGGTGATAAGGGGTCGAGTGTTGGTCAGGCGTTGCGGCTCACATGATCTAGGCACTTGATGTTAAGCATGACCCTATAGCATGATGTGGCGAACGCGTTTAACTTATTCTCCATGTCCCCCGTTATGACCCAGGATTCACAGCCGTACAGCAGTATTGTCACGCAGGTGGTGTTGAAAAGCTTGAGTTTAGTGGATTTGGAGATTGATGGACTTCTCCAGATCTTCTCCAGCTTCCAAAAAGCAGTCCATGCAAGTGATTTCCTCTTAGCCATGTCATGACTGCTAGAGGCCATCATGGACCCCAGATATTTGAAGTTGGCAACATGTCTTAGCGGAAACGTGGTCGCCCTTCTTTAACTCTGAAGAAGGTGATAGAGGAGGACATAGGTCTGGGCGGTGCTGAACTATCCTCTGTCATGCGTGACAGGAACTGGAGGCAGTACATGGTGTCACCTGATTAGGATGAACTGAACTGAACTGAACTTATTGGCTGTCCATATACCTCTAGCGGCAGTTGTGGGTTGCAGTTATATGTCATGTACTCTGTCTTGGGTACACTGATGATGAGCCCAAGTTGTTTCCTCGCAACTGCTGTTTTAGTAAGCTGTTCCTGCGCCCTGGGTATGGTTGACTCAAGAAGTGCAATGTCGTCGGCAAAGTCGTAATGTACCAAAAGCATTATTTTAAGCACGAAAGAAACCACTGTAAACATGCAGGTCCGAGGAACTATTTCTTCACCTCCTAAGGCTGAGGTTACATTTCCAAACCGGGGCCCGGCCGAACTTTTCGTTCCAGAAGACTGCCCGGCTGGGCTCCGGTTTGGAAATCTGACCTCAGCATAAACGTATTTCTGTTTTTTTCCTTATAAGCATTATATGCTCAGCAGAAACAAAAGTTAATTTTATCCGGCAGATTCCTCTGGGCCTCAGTCTGACGACAGGCACGAAGCAAACAATCCCGGATCAGCTGAAACTACTGGGGACATGCCAGGGGTCAACAGGAAGTCTAAAGTCAGACCCAGCGCCATGTTAAAGACTCTTTTCTCTGTAATTAACATCGTTCTGCGCTGCTGTCTACTGTGCGCTGTTATCTACCTGGGTGAGTGTTCTCATCTGTCTGTAATAGGTTAGCTGGACACGATAAACGCTGAACTAAAGTTGTCATTACCTTTGCTAGAAGGTTATGCCATTTTGCCATGGTGGTAGGTGTGTAGTGGTTGTTAAAACGAAGGCTAACTTCGAAACGTTTTTACCTGTAGTGTCCCTACGTTGCTGCAGTGGATTGTTTTTGTGTTTTTGTATTCATAGATGTGTACAAGATAACTCAAGAAGCTGTGAATAGTTACCTCCATGACATGTCATGGAGGTTATATTTTCAGTTGCGTTTGTCCCTCTGTCTGTCCGTCTGTTAGTCAACAAGATAACTCAAGAACGGCTGGATGGACCTTCCCTCCCGTAGAATGCGATCTCGATCATGAACGTTTAGGCGCCTAGCAAGCAAGAGTGGGTTAGGACGTGTTTTCGGTGAACAGCTGCAAACGGTACCTGGTCCAGGTGAAGCTTTTCGGCCAGATATACCACAAAAATCAGGTTTCCTAGAGCAACGCTCGTCCAGTAAGTCTGCTTTCAGTCTTTCGCGGCGTTCTTGGTCCAAAGCTCTGCGCACATCCTCAATTTCCGCTGTCTGGAACTCCGCAGAATGTTTGGTAGCTCCGACACGCTCCCGTACCTTGGTTAAGTCTGCAGAAAAACCCTCGACTTTGTAGTCCAAAGTGCGAATTTGGTCTGAAAGCTTTTCTCCGACGTCCTTGACTTTTGGACTCCGACGTCCTAGAAAGGTCTCCTGTTGCGCTTGAGTCTGTTTCAGGATTAGAAGAAGAAGAAAGTTTATTGCAAATACATGCCCGAGGGCTAATTGCAGTTACAAACAACATAGGAAAGAAAATACAGTGGTATGTGAGACTTTATCTACGTCTAGCATTATACTATATTCTACAACATGCATGGTACTAGATTTACTGGGTTTGACTTCTTCTTTTTAGGCAGTGGAAGACGAATTTACCCACTTCTTCTATAATATGTGGGTTGTTTGATTTTAGTAGTAAAAATGCTTTTTTGTGGTAGGGAACGGTGGGGAAGTAAGGGAGCATTTTGGACACGGTGCTAAATAATTGTTTTCTGATGTCGGCATAAAATGGACAGTTATAGCGCGAGCGTCTGTAATTCCGGTGACAGAGACCGCAAACTTTCCTCGCTACCAGAACTCGCCGCCATCTCCAGTGTCTTTGGTAGGGGGCAGCTTTTCAGAGATGAGCTATTTTCCTCTGCACCACTAAAACCCCTCGAGCGTCTAGTTCTCTTCCCCATCCAAGAATCCCGATACGCGATAAGAGTATTCGGTGCACAACGGGCAGATACCAATTCGGGCTCTGCGTGGGGCAAATCCATGTGGAAAGTTGAAGTTGTTTGGAGCACACAATCACACACCTAGTTCAGGGCCGCCATCTTGAAGAAAAAAATCTTTATTTTAAAATCTTTGAGGGAGGATAACTCAAGAACCGGTTGGCGGATGGTCGTGATGTTTAGTAAGTGGGTAGCTTAACTGAAGTTCGAATCAGATGGCATTTATGCAAATCAGGATCTAATTTTCACAATTAAGGAGGGAATTCGATAAAGCTGTTGGGTTCCATAATAGGACTATTGACATATGACATTGAGAAAAAGAGGAGCATTGAATGATATTACGTACATGAAGACCTTAACTGAATTATTGATGAGGAAACGCTATAATTCCATAACGGTAACTACCATGAATAAATATTAAATAAATAAATGAAGGTGAACATCACAAAACATAACATCGGGTGGAAAACATGATCAACTGAACAATCAATGCATGCAGATAAGGATCTTGTTTGCTAAATCAATGAGAAACGTTTACTTAACATAACTTGACAAAGGTATGCGGAAATATCAATAAAACGAGTTATAAAAATTTTGTCGTTGAATGGAAAATATTGATCAACTGAAGTAATTCATGCAATTAAGGATCCTATTGGCATTATCAATACCAAACTTCTATTCTATAGTGGTACTTGGCGTCTACATTTGTATATGAGACCGTGAAACTCTAGTTATGCGGTGATTGTGTGTATTTATTACACAATAGTGACGGTGTCAGAGAGTCAACAAAACCAGCTGACGGCGGAGTACCTGAGGCAGTGGAAGCAGTCAGTCATCACTATCGACAAGACAGCCGCAACTCTTGCAAATGTCTCCGACTGGATGGATCGGGTAACTAGCAAAACTAATGCATGATGAAATTAGAAAGGCCGACATTTGTTTTGGAGCAAATGCAGCACGGCTTCACCACATTTCACGACATGGCAGGGAAAGAGGGAGAAATACAAGGGAAAACAATGCTTTATATTCATATAACTATAGTATGAAGTAACATATAACCAAGAATTCAACAGTTGGATAGCTATCCCCTACATTATTGGTTAGGATTTTTATTTGCATAATGCAAACTTTCTCATTTTCATACATGCCCTTGAAAAAAAATTTTATGAACGTTTTTTGGGGGCATTTTTCAACAAAAAATGGATTTTTGGATCCTGAGCCCTGGTATTACAACCAAATGATCTGGACATGTGAAAATGAAATATTATCAAAGGCTAAGAATTCCTCACGCAAAATATTGTAATTTGAGTTTAGAAAACCATAAATTAAACTGTTAATTACGACCTTAAATCCTTTTCCCCCAATAACAATTTTAAATAAACTCGACATATTTCATGGAGGAATGATTTGATTTGATTTTATTAGTTTGCACATAAACAAAACAGACAATAATAATACAAAATAAGGATAAAACAAGTGCAGGAGGAGGGGAGAAGCATGGAATGCTTATACAAGGCCCTCTTCCTCTAAACTATAAAAATTAAATATAATCAAATTGAAATAACATAATAGAAAATGGAGATAATACAGTAAGGATAATCAAATAATGTACGGTATAAATTAATGACAATGAAATAAGGTAATGTAAGTTATAAATACAGTGCAATAATGATAATGATAATAATTGCTATGAGTTAAAATAAGAGAAAAACACTAAATAAAACTACTACAGGGGGGCTAGGTTTATCAGATGGTTTATATTTATCAGAGGTTTTTCAGAGCTTGTTTGAGTGAGAGAGAGGACAATGTAGGATTCTTTAGGGCTGGAGTTAGTTCATTCCATAAGGTGACACCTTTGTATCTAACCGACATTTAGGCAAGAAAAGTTTTTACTAGGGTGATATGAAA